ACAGCAAGCCCTGCCCTGGTGGCTGATAATCCTAGGCTGTTCTGGCTAATCTTCACTTTATTAGTTTGTTGCTGATATAAACAGAGAGAGTCAAATCCGCCTGGGATTGTTTCTTTCCCTTCAGGAGCAGTGTGCTACTCTCTCTTTTCACCCCTCCCCATCCACCTGCTTTGCATTACGTCCCAATCCGATTTCCCCAAGTCTCTGGTGTCTGATTTAATTTGCCTGACGCTGCTCCTGGAATCAGCCCTCCCCCAACCCCTCCCGTCCACAGCCTTCCAGCTCCCCATGGGGAGATCAGTCCTGGGAGAGGCTGAGGAGCAGAGAGGGAGCAAGGGACTCGCTGGCTGGCTGGACGAACGGGACTAGCTGGAGACTGCAGAGGTACAGGGGACTTTGGGGCAGTGAGGAGCCATTCTCAGCAAGGGAGGCAGGCTGTGAGGGTCCCATCCAGGAGGGTCTGCAACCCACCTTGCTCTACAGATCCCGGTAAGTTTGCCGCCTTGCAATGCCTGAGTCACCTTGGTGAACCTGGCGTTTGGAACCCTGAGTTTCTTGGAGTGATTCTGTGGGGAGACTTTGAACAAGGGCTCATCCCATCAGAGGATGAGGGAGGGTAAGATCATGGAAAGGAGTTGGGGTTAGCACTGAAGTGTCCTTACAGTGATGAGAGAGCTTTGCACTGGGATGCACTGCTTGTTCTCCACTTGGCAGGTAAATCTCACCAGTTTCCAGGCTGGAGCGGGAGAGTAACACCTCCTCTGATCAACCTGGCACTCCCAGTGCGCCCTAGGTGCACCTCTTTGCAGCTGGCTGCTGTTCTGGGTGCAGAAGGAGCCCTCAGAAAGCAAGGAGCAGAGCAGGGTAATTTTACCCTCACCTTTGACCTCCATCACAGGAGAGAGGGATCATCTCTATCCGGCTCTGCAAGGAGCCCAGGGTCACCAGGGCGAGCCTGCGAAGCTGGTCAGGGATTACACAGAGACCCAGGGATGCTGCCTGTTCCCACTGAGTCCTTCTTGCACCTTTCCCTTTTCCATTCACAGCCCTCTCCCAACATTTCACAGAGCAACCACTCCTTCTGCAGCATGGGGGAAGCTACCCAGGAGCAGACAATAAGAGGGTTCACCTTGCCTCTTTTTCCCACCTATTACTTGCACCCTTATCCCCACCAGGGAGTGATGCAGGTGACTTGGAGGGACAGCCTCCAGGGAGCAAGCTGGGCCACCTCCATGGCACTGTGCAAGGATATGGCCACTGCTCTGGAAAGTCAGGGTGTGGCAGCAAAAGGCAGAAGATGGATGATTCCAGATCCCCCTCCGTCTTGCACCACAGCAGAGGCATTTGATCTGCTATGAGCAGACACCAAAGGACTCAGGATGGGTTTGACTGCCCACAGACAGGAGTGCTGCAGCAAGAAGTATGTTAGAAAAGCAGGAGGGGAAAGAACTGTCATGTTGGAGAGCAGAAGAACTGATTTCCAAAGCCAAGAGCTGTGAACTGGATGAGCACAGCTAAGGCAGAGCTCAGAACAGGGCTGGCATGAACTGACCAAGCCCAGGCTCTGTTTGACTATGCCCTACTTGCTCCTGGTAGTGCTTGCAGGAGGCAAAACTCTGGAACAGGTGCCAAGGTCCTCCTGTCAGCAGCTGTGCTGAGAGTGGTGAATTGTTTCTTTCAAAGGTACCTAAGGACTTGGTTTCCTCTTCTGCTTAGCATTCACCTGAAAGAGCCCTTACTTCCAGAAAGAACCAAGTGTGCACCATTTAGAACCCTTTCCCATTAAAACTAGCCTGGGCAACCACCATGAGCAACTGTGAGCTGATCCTTAGATCCACTAGAAATGTGTAGTCCTAAGGTCCTGCGGGTCAAGGCAGGAACATGCTTTGGCCAAACTCCATTTCTCTTTCTTCTGTTCTTCTCCCATTTTGTTCCTCCCATTTCCTGCCCTAAATTTACATGACCATAACAAGCTGCTCTTTTGCACACCTGCCCTGGTCCTCCTGGGAGGCAGCTGCATACGCTGGGGATAGCTCATTCTCCACAAATTGCACTGGGATGTGACGGATGGAGGCGACAGGCAAAAGATAGAGCTATTATTATCACTCATCTGTAGCTCCTTGTCCTTCTGAGGCTGAGAACAATTCCCAACTTCATTTAGAGTGTTCTCTCAGAGGGATTTAAGGGTTCGGACACAGTCCTGAGCTGCACCTTCTCTATATTTAGCCCTTTTTATCCGTCCTCGACATCCTGCCCCTGCTGTTTGATCTGCCTAGGGCTCTGAAAGCCCCTCATCTGGTCGTGCAGCTTTAGAGAGCAGTGAACTGGCATTCCCTTGCTAGTGCCAGAGTTGAGAAACAACCAGAGAAGGGGAAGAGTGTAGTGAAAAAGCAGGAGCAGTGAAAGGAAGACTGGGATCCAACGTAATGAGCAGGACGTGTACGGCCAGCTTCACTGGGAGTAGAAATTGGAAGGGAGAGAGAACAAGGTTCCCATCTCTGTGCAGGTCTGGGTGGGCAAAACCAGAAGTCTACAAAGAAAAATTAGGGCAGGTGGATGGACAGTGATCTCAGAGAGCCAAAGGTATATGAAATAACAGCCTGAGGAACTTGGGAACCAAGTAAAGCAGGCTGGAAGGAAGGAGTCAGAGGCAGAAGGTTACCTAGCAGGAAAAGGCAATCCAATGCTTAGGATTGATGGATCAGTCCTGAGGAACACTGGAAAAGGGCAAAGTGTGGGCCACAATGGTAGGGCTGGCTGCACAGGTGGCTGGAAGTTCAGGTGTGCCACTTGGTGTGCTGTCAGCTGTGACCGGAGCTGGATGGAGCCTGGCAGCCTCACTGTACACTGAAACTGAGGGGCAAACACTGCAGGAGAAGGAGGATGTGCAGCCTCTGACTAAAAGCAGCAAGGCATTCCCCAACATCTCCCCGCTCTGTCAGTCAGCTGAGAGGTGGAGTGGAATGCTAGCCCTTTCCCAAAGGAGGGGGAGTGGATAAAGGTGGGCTTTCATGGCCAGGGTCACTCAATGAGGTGCAGCTCTGCATCCTTGCTGGGAGGAGCCCCCTCATCACTGCTCTGTTGGAATAACAGAAGAAAAACTCTGTGGAATGGGCCCAGCTTAGGTGCTGCTCTGTTCCTGTCCTTCAGTGTAGCTGCAGGAGGCTGTGGTTGGCATTTCCAGGCATGGCTCTGGCACCTTCCTCTGGGCCCTGGCAGTTCCTCCTGCTCCCTCACCATTTGCTGGGGCTGGCAGCCCCATCCAGTGCATTGACAGCAAGCAGGGAGGATTCAGCAGTGCTGTGGCTCTATCCAGCCCCGCAGGCAGCAGCAGGCACAAGTTTCTCTCTGCAAAATATATCCTGAAATAGCTTTGTGCTGGGATAGCCTCCCAGGAGCTAGGGGAAACCTGTATCTCATTCTCTTTCTTGCACTCAAAGCAATGCCTCAGGAATCATTAAACAAGCAAAAACTCACCATGCCTGAGGGATCAAAGGAAAGCCGTGGAAACATTCAAGGGAAGGCATTCTTAAAAGAAACTCAAAGTGCTCTATGAAGCAGCAAGCAAAGGTGGGACTTGGGAGCTGTCTGGATGTGCTTGCCCGCAGCAAGAGAGCAAGTCTGGCATGGAAGGAAGGACCCAAAGCCCCACTGACCAGAGGAAGTGAGGCCTTCAGGCAGCAGGGATGGAAGTGATGTGACCCGTAGGGACTGGGAGAAATTCTGCAGATGCTGCTGGAACATTTCTTGGGCAACACCTGGAGCGTATCTGGACACTCGCATCTATCCAGGTGAAATGTTGGATCAATTAAAGATCACTTTTGTCTACAAAAGTGGGAGATGCTAGAATTGCTGGTAAAGATTTAAGTGCATATAGCAAGAGAGAATGAAAAAGAGATGTTGTATAAGGATACAGTACACCTGCATCTTAAATATGGATTACAGTTTTCTGGTTCCTGCCCTCCCTGAAAAAACGTATCATCTCTGCTCTGTAAACTGAAAAAAAACTCATAGCACAACAGAGACAATAGGATGTAACAGCTTACATGGGAGGAATGACTAAGTTTGCTCTGCAGTCTGGAAAAGAGACGGGTATGACAAAGAAGTATAAAACACCAAGTGATGCAGAGGTGAATAGAGACCAGTTACTTGCTGATTCTTCCAACTCAAAATATAGCTACTCTCAAGTGGAGCTAGTGCCACTGAGAAATTATAGAAGCAGGAGCTTCTTTGCAGAGCCTGCCACCCAGCTGTGGAAATCATCACCATGGGGTACTGAGGAGGCTGAACTTGGCATAGGCACAAAAATGGTGTGGACAAATGCAAAGAAGAAAAGTCCATCAAGGACTTGTATACAGTAATGTTGCTCTAGCTTTGGATGTCAGTGAAAAGCTAGGGCTGGGCAAGTAGGAGATGTACTCCTATCAGCTTACGTTATTCTTAGACCCTTCCCTAGGCATCCACCTTTCTTTTTATTTTAATTTGGTTTGGGTTTTTTTGGTTGGTTTGGTTGGTTTTGGCTTGGTTTTTGATGTGAAACTGGGAGGGAACCCTGAGAGAGTACCTCAAGAGCTCTGTAGATTTTATTGGTGGTCGGAGAGTTGGGTGGTCCTACCTGGTGAGGCTTTGCTTAGCACAAACAGCAGGAAATAGCCAATGGGCTCCCCCCATGAAGTTTCTTCCTCCTGGAGCTGAGATGGACAGCTTGGTCATGAGCAGAGAGAAGCTGATGAAGAGGACCCAGGGTCTGGAATGGAGAGGTTAAAAATGAGTGGACAAGTATGGCCAGAACCTCAGCAAGAGGCTCTGGAGTTCTTTAGCTTTCCTATGTGTATGTGTAAGCAGGATCCAAAAAAAATGGACCTTTGACCAGGCCCAGCACAATATTCCCAAATGCTGAGGGTTGCGGCCAGATACAGCACGACATGACTGAGTATTCAGCCAAGAAGTGGTCACCAATCCTTTATCAGAGATACCTGCATTTCCATAACTGAGCAGTCACATTGGTGTCCTATCTGACTCACACCTCTCTCCTTTGATCTGTCTCCCCAGAATCCAGGCTGCCCCGCGTGGAGGGAGCCACCCCTAGGTCAGAAAGATGGGGGAAATGGAACAGATGAAGCAGGAGGCTGAGCAGCTGAAGAAGCAGATTGCGGTAATGCTGGCAACAGTCATGAAGCTGCTGAGAGCGTGTCTACCCCCCACTGCATGCCCGAACTTTCCTCCTCAGCTGCAAGATGGAGTTGGGCTTTCTCCATCTACATACTTGGAGCCCTCTCCAGCTCTCCACAGCCCTTTAAATGCTAATGGAGATCTTCCCACCATGGTGGGGGGAAGAACAGTAGGGGAAGGGAGAGAAGAGGGGACAGCAGCCCCAAGAGTATAGTGAATCCCCAGGATCTTCTGTCTGTGAGATCGCTGGTGTTCTGTCAGGAGGGTCTATGGAAAGGGTGAAGCACAGCAAATTTTGGCTCACCTTCCTGACAAATGACTGGTGTCAAGGTGCCCTAATCATAAACAAAGATCCCCCTATGCTGGCCACAATCCAAACACAGCAAAGCCACAATTCCTACTTCTAGTAGCCCCCAGACTATGACCCCAAATGTCATACCTTCCCCGCATGTTTTTAATCTCTCTCATCTGCTGTTGTCTCTTCTCCAGGATGCCCGGAAAGCCTGTGCAGACACAACGCTTGCTCAGGTAAGGGACAGGGCTGCCTGGGCAAGCTAGCACCACTCTGAGGGTCTTTTGTCCTGCCAGGAAGGAGTTAGGAGGCAGAGATGTGGAAAGTAGTAAAGCTCCTGGCAGTCCAAGATAAATTCTTTCTCTCCCACCGCTCTTTCTTTAGATTGTGTCTGGAATGGAGGTCGTTGGGCGCATCCAGATGCGGACCCGAAGGACCTTGCGGGGACACCTGGCCAAGATCTACGCCCTGCACTGGTCCACAGACTCCAAGTGAGAGCACTACTGCTGATCTGCTGGGTGCAGGACAGCACATGGGTGTGATGGGCAGGAAAGCTCTGGTGGGAAGAAAGCTACTAACATGATCTTGTTGCTTTCTCACAGACTTATGGTCAGTGCCTCACAAGATGGAAAACTGATTGTGTGGGACACATACACAACTAACAAGGTAGGAGCCAGGTGGCTGCAAACTGGGATGCTGGAGGGGTCCCCTTGGAGCTGGTGTCCTTGACCTGTTCTCTCTGCTGCCAAGAGCCCTGACGCGGTTTCTGGTCCTCCCAGGTTCATGCCATCCCTTTGCGTTCTTCCTGGGTCATGACCTGTGCCTATGCCCCCTCTGGCAATTTTGTGGCCTGTGGAGGCCTTGACAACATGTGCTCCATCTACAGCCTCAAGTCTCGTGAAGGCAACGTCAAAGTGAGCAGGGAGCTCTCAGCCCATACAGGTGTGTGCGCTGCCTGCCTGCAACTGGGTGCCCCTGGCTCCCAAACTTCACCCTTCCATCCCTGCCCCTTTTGCTCACATTTGCTTGTTCCCGCTTCCCAGGATACCTCTCCTGCTGCCGATTTCTTGACGACAACAATATTGTGACTAGCTCTGGAGATACCACATGGTGAGTGCTCCTTCCTGCATCCTAGTGACATGATCTCTGCTCTTAGCACAGCAGCAAGTGCAGTCCTTGTGCTCTTCAGCACTCCACTATCTAAGGAGGAATTGTTCCTACATGGGGAGGCCACATGGAGCACCTTAGGAAGCCTGATCCATTCTAACTCCCTTGGCAGAAAGATGCTTCTTTTCTCAGCTGAGGCCAGGTCAAGCAGTAGGGACTATGTCAACAGCTCTCACAAAGAGCAGCGTCACTTATACCAGCACAGAAAGAGTTTTAATTTTATGCAGAGCACTCACACGTTCTCCACTTCTCAAGTTTTGCCCTCTGTGCAAGAGACACTGCAGAGGCAGTTCCTTGATCCTTTGGTTCCTGCTTCTCAGGGTTTGCTGTGCTGTGACTCTGAGCAGTCCTGAGTCTTTATTCACCCATCCCAAAACCTGCTTTGGAATAGTATTTTGACCAAGGATAAACGGCATTTCCATCAGAGATCAGTGTTACACAGGATTTGTTTGCCCAGCTGTGGTGTGGGATCCCCTGGAACAAGAGCTTTGCATCTTACAAGAATGGACACAGAAGACCTTTTTCTCCTGTTTTCTATTTTTTTTTTTTGCTGTTTGTGTCCCTCTTTCTGTCTCTCAGTATTCCCTTCAGCTGTTACACTTACGGGAATATGCCAAGCCTCACACACCCCCAGCCTTAGTCTAGCTCTGTTTTGGCAAAGGTATTGCCAACAACAGCTGTGAAGATATCTCCTGTTGTATACAGCTGACTCCAGGGATGCTCTCACCCATTTTCTCGTGCAGTAACCATGGCTTCTTCCTTTTGTTTGTGAGTGGGACAGCTCTTCAGCCCAGCTGTAGGTCTGCTCTGCCTGGGCTGGCTCTGAGACCTTCTCTCCTCTCTTGTCCCCTCCTGCAGCGCGCTCTGGGACATCGAGACAGGGCAGCAGAAGACTGTGTTCATTGGTCACACTGGAGACTGCATGAGCTTGGCCGTCTCCCCTGACTTCAAACTCTTCATCTCCGGGGCTTGTGATGCTACTGCCAAACTGTGGGACGTGCGGGAGGGCTCCTGCCGTCAGACCTTCTCAGGGCACGAGTCCGACATCAACGCCATCTCCGTACGTATGCTCCCTGCACAGTGCTAGGGAGGAAAATGGGGGTGGAACAGCTCCAAAACAGCCCTGGGACAAGGTTGAAGGAAGCTGTCACAGTCATTAGGGTAACAAGGGTCTTAGACCTTGGCCCCATGATCCAGCCTGAAGCAGAGAGTGCCCAAGCTCACTGAAGTTTGGAGGAGGGCTCTCCCCAGGCACCAAAGCACACCATGGTCTGTGGAGATGAGCACCCTGACAGAGGTGCTGGTGCAGCTTTGCTCGCAGCAGCTGTTGGGAACTGTGGTTCAGGCATGCTCCAGCACCTCTGGCACAAGGCACATGTGAGGCAGCAGGAATACCTAACTCAGCTGAGGTCAGCTCCAGGCAGAAGAGGTAGGATCACAGGGACGTCTTCTGAAGATTATATTTCCATGGGAGGCAGCTCAGACATTTAAGAGGAAGCACCTCTCTCAGAGCTGCAGAGATGGCAGGACAAGACACATGGCAGACTAATCCTTGAAGCTAACCAAATGCCAGCTCCCTGCAGTCTGCTGCTCAAACCACCCTCCACTGACACCAATTAGTGTAACTTTCTCAGTTGCCCCATGGCTGCATTGCCAGCCACATGATTTTCTGCCATATCTGCTCCTGAGCCCTTTATTTACTCCTCAGAGCAAAACCACAGAAAATGAGCATGTATGAGAAGGCTGGGATATGAGGATCAGACAGAGGAAGGCTCTGGTAGCCAGAATTATGTCAGACCTCATCTGGGGGATAATGGGTGGACACTTGTCAAGGCCCAACCTAACAGCTGGAGTTAAAATAATCCTTCCTCAAGCACTGAGATATCTTGCAACAGGCCATTTATTTTCTTGGAGTGGAAACAGTTTATTAGGCCTTACAAGAAGTATCACTCTTCCCCTTCAGCAGACTCAAATTTTATGATCCCGTGTCTGGCCCCACCAGGTTTTCCTGCCTCCGTGCCTTCCTGGTGGTTAGCAGGGGGGCGGCGAGTTGAGGAATTCCATCGGGATCTGAGGCAAACCTCACTAAAACGTGGTGTGTGCCCTCCCCAGTTCTTCCCCAACGGCGAAGCCATCTGCACCGGCTCCGACGACGCCACCTGCCGCCTCTTCGACCTGCGGGCGGACCAGGAGCTCATCATGTACTCCCACGAGACCATCATCTGCGGGATCACCTCCATCGCCCTCTCCCGCAGCGGCCGGCTCCTGTTCGCTGGCTACGATGACTTCAACTGCAACATCTGGGACTCCCTGAAAGCAGAGCGTGTGGGTGAGTGGCTCCTCCAGGTCCCTCTTTCCCTCCCTGCAAGGCCTCCTGTCCCTCCCTGCCTTAGGGATAGCAAGGCACTTATTTTTCCTAAACATAGGAAGATAGACTATACTGACTGAAACCAAACAAAGCTCCCTCGTGCTTAGGGAGCACATCAGATTTCGGACAACTCTCTTTGGCCTAGAAGAGCTATGGTTTTTAATGTTAAGGAAGTCAAGCCTTTAAACAACATTGTTTCAAGGGGGACAAGAAGGTTCCTATTAGCTAAAACTGCTCACAACCACCAAAAGAATATCTTACTTCCTCCTAGTCTGCCAGTTCCAGGTACTCACAGTGCCACTTGGTGGCCAGGCACCAAGTCAAGTGTGCACCTGGTTCCAAGTGTTCCATCCAACATCTTTGGGTACACTGCGATGCTCATACACACAACGCACGGCATTTTTCTTTCAGATGTGGCCCCTGTCCTCTGAAAAGTCATGAAACACAGCCCACCAACAGCATTGCTTTTCTCAGCCTTATCAAGGACCCCATCCTATCGTAGTCTTAGCATCACTCCAGGGTGAAAGCAGTTGTGAAAGCTGGCCACACCTTCCCAAGAACCCTTTGGGTGGTGGCTTTATGCCACACACAAAAGCTCTTTGGCACGTTTGCTCCTATTCTCCCCATACTGACTCTAAGATGTGCAGGAGAAGGCAGGGCCACACACGGTGTATAGGCACAGCCTGTGATGTGTGTCCTCAGCAGGGCCACCCCTGTCACCTCTCACAGGCCCCCCTTCACTCCCTGACCTCTCTTCTTTCCCACCGCAGGAATCCTTTCTGGCCACGACAACAGAGTGAGCTGCCTGGGGGTGACGGCGGATGGCATGGCTGTTGCCACTGGCTCCTGGGACAGTTTCCTCAAGATTTGGAACTGAGGACAGCAGCAGAGAGGGGATGAGCAGCAGAAGCACGGCCCACAGCCCGAGCCCACGCAAAACAGCATCATCAGCTGAGCACAACAGAAATGCCTACCTACCACTCCCACTCGTCTCTAGACACAGGTCACTTGTAGGAGTCTCCCAGAGTGAAAGGAGATCAGGGAGGAGAAGCAAGGGGAGCTGGGGAGTAGGAGCAAATGCACTGGCCCTTCTCTCCACCTCTAAACAGCCCCAGCAGTTTCCAGCCTTGTGCAGGCTTGAAGACCTGTTCTTTATGTCTCAGGACTTTGCAGTACAATTCAGACACCCTGCACCTTCCTTCAGACACCTCTACCCACACTGGTACCCATCCTCCTCCTTCAGGGGACCCCTCATGCAACACCCACCCCAGACTAAGCTCTCTCTCTGCTTTAATTCTCCCTAACTTCTCTGTGCAGCTGTTCTGCATACATGCAGACAGCCCCAGACACACTGGATTTATGATTTCTATGGCACCGCCTCAAACATAAAGCTAGAGTAAATTTGGCTCATTTTCATGGGGGAATACTTAGCTCAAGTCCTATCTATGCATAAAGGGGGGAAAGGCAGCCTTCAGATCTGCCAGAATAGCAGGGAATATATTTATTCTTTTGTTAGTTCAAGTCTTATCTATGCATAAATGGCAGAAAGGTAGCCCTCAAAACCTGCCAGAATATCAGGGAATAATATATTTATTCTTATTTGTTGTCTGCTTCCTGCTGTTCCTTCCCTCTTTGCCTCACTCCTGCATTGTGTGGTGACCCTATCTAACCAGTAGCCATCAGCCCATGTTTTCAAGTCTGTTTAGATCTTTACAGCCCAGGCAAATAAAGCTCACAGAAGCACTGCAGGCTGTGTTCTTTCCAGCATTGCAATGAGCTACTGCTAGCATAACTCTTTTCCTGTGAATATTACCTGCTGGTCTCAACCAGTCAACACTTCATCCACAGACCTTGCTTTGGCTCACAGCCCCAGGGGAGGGGGCTCCTCACGTGCTGTAGTGGAGAAGAGGTTGAAGTTGGGATCATGGGATGAAAGTGCATCCTTTCAAAGCTTGGATATTTTACTGATTTACAGGACACAGCCATTTTTTTTCAGCCCCTATTCTACTTGTTGGCTCCAAGTAGCATCCTGGGGGGACCAAGGCTCTGCTAGGGAGAGCTGGAGATCAACAAGGTTTAGTAACTCACCAACAGAAGGTCAATATTAATGGACAATGCCATCTCATGTTATTTTGGATCTCACCCTGTGTTTTTTTGTGCTGAGCAAGCACAGTATCAGGACATACAGTCAGCAAAGGTTGAACACAAATTTATTTACTAGAGATAAAAGCTCTATGGAAAAACCAATACAACTGATATACAATAAAAGAGACAAAGTCTGTGCTGTACATTAGACATGACAAGCTAGGAAGAGGGAGAAATCTTTCCCCAGCAGGGATAGGTGAGAAATATGACCACTGCTTTGGGGTTTCAGTCTATTGTAGGATTTCTTCCCTCTAAAAAATTCTCAAAACATAGGAGCAAATTATAGCAAGATCCTAGTTCTCCACAAAAGTACACTGCTGGTTCTCCTTGTTCAAGTCGCTCCAAGCACAGTTCCCAGATTTAAGGCTCCTGCTTAGATCCACATCCTTCTTCTCCCCAAGGTTCTCTCCCAACACATGCCTCTTACCCTACAGAAATAAAAACCCAAACACAGAGTGAAAAACACAAGTTAATTAAAGGTTAGTTAATTCTCAGCAGAATATGTAGCCTATTTTCAAGCCATTCAGCTTGGACTCTCTTGTGACAATGTACAAGAGTAACTTTTTTTCTACAGCCTAGAGAGAAAGAATGCACTGAAATGGGCAATTTCACAGTAAGGCCAAAGACACTGAACAAGACTAACCCACAGAAAAACATTTGTTTAGTTACTAGTCTCTACAGACCTGGGAGGCCACAGCTCTCAACTGGGACCCTACAAGATACAGAAATTGAAGGATGTGGCTTTTTTTTTCAGCTCAATCTCCCTCCCTCAGCATGACCCATTAAGCTTTACCTGGCGAGGGGTGGGAGCACTGGGAGAATTATCATCTCGTAGAATGCTGAGGGGAGAGCGGCCAGTTCCTCCAGATGTTGCCATGAATTTGTTGTTGGGCTTGTGTCTTATGGGCTTGCTCACTAGTTGACAAAAGGAAACACACCAGCATGTCACGACAAGGCTCAAAGGTCCTGGATTTTAAATGCCTCCTGGCCTTTATCAAAGATTTAACCAAGGGCTTTGAGGCAAAGGGATCACAGAAATGTTGGAAGTGAAGTCTAGAGGACCCACTCCAGCAGCGTCACCTAGAGCCCATTGTCCAAGACCATGTCCAGGTGTCTCTTGAATATCTCAATGGATAGAGATCCTGCAACCTCTCTGAGCAACCTGTTCCACTTCTTGGTCACCCTCATAGTGAAAAACAAAGTGTTTCCTGATGTTCAGGAACCTGTGTACCATTATGTCCCCTTTGCCTCTGGTTCTCTCTTCTTTATACCCTTCCTTCAGGTATTTGTATCTATTAAGAAAATAACCCTTGAGCATTTTCCTCTCCAGGCCAAACAGCCCCAGTGCTCAGCTGCTCCTCTGAGGAGTAGTGCTCAGCCAAGCGCTTTCTGAAGCACAGTTTGCATCCGAGTCTCTCAGCACAGAGACGTGCTGCCCACCCTTGCTCCACAGCTCTTCCTAAGGAGAAACTGTAAGGTCCCTCTGGACAGGTCTCCACAGTCAAAAACCCATCTCGAAGAGGGGAAGAACTGTCGTATACCTCTTGATTTTGAATACAGTTTAAAAACAATTTCTGGACAGAAACCTGTTCGATAACGTAGCAGTTCCTAAGGGGTGCCCCGGCCGCAGAGTCTCCAGGCCGGGGGGCACAGCCGAGCTGGGGGTAGGGGCAGGCTCTGGCGCGGAGCAGCCTGGAGAAGGCACCGGGAGCCCCGCCGTGCTCACAGCGCACCCCGCGCAGCCCTCCGGGCACACGGAGCCCGGCCGTTCCCACCCCGAGCACTCACCCGAGCAGAAGCCGTGTCCTCACCCCCACCCCGAGCACTCACCCGAGCAGAAGCCGTGTCCTCACCCCCACCCCGAGCACTCACCCGAGCAGAAGCCGTGTCCTGCAGGGCGGCCGGGCCGGGCCGTGCCGGGGGAGGGCGGCCTCTCCGCCTCCGGGCCCGCGGGCGGGGAGCTCCGCCGGGCCGGCTCCTGGGCGGGGCCCGCCGCTCCCGGAGGAGCCGGCTCCGCGGCCTCGGCCCCGAAGGCCTCGCTGAGCTGCGTCACCAGGCGGTCCACGCTGTCTGCCGGGGACGGAGGGGGACGGGGTGAGCCTCTAAGTCCGGCACCCCTCAACCCGCCCACCCACGGCGGCTTCACTCACCACTCGACACGGCTCTCATGGGCGTGCGGGAGATGCCGGGCGTGGGCGACCGCGGGTCCCGCTCCTGGCCGGTGCCCGCCGGCGGCTCGGCGGGGCTGGGCTGCGGGCTGCCCGCCGGGGAGCTCACCACCTGCGGAGAGGGCAGGCGTGCGGGCAGAGGGCCGGAGCCACGCAGGGGGAAGCGGCGGCGGGAGGGCTCCTACCTCGATGGGGGTGCGCAGGATGCCGGCGGTGGGGGAGCGGGGGTCGCTGACGTGAGCCAGGTGCTTGTTGCGGGGCGCGGCCGGGGTGGCGGGGGCGCTGCCGGAGGCCCCCATGGCGGCGGGGCCGCTCTGCGCCCCGGGCCCGCCGGACGCGCCGTTCGAATCTCCCGCGCGCCGGGCGGTGCCGCCGCCCATTGGCCGCTGCGCGGGGGCGGGGCTCACCGCGCCACGCCCACCGCCCCGCCCCGCCAGCCCGTCGGCTCCGCGGGCCCCGCCCGTCACGTCCCGCCTCGCCCCGCTGTCAATCTTCCTAGACAAACCCGCCCCCTCGCCCCTCGCTACGCCCTTATTGGTCGAGGAGCCCGGCACCGCCTCCCGCGATGGCCGAAGGGCGATTGCGATTGGGCGAGCCGGCGGGTTGGCACGGCGAGTCCGGCCTCCAGCCTCGCTGCCGATTGGCCAGGACCCGCCTGACCGCGCTGGGCTGCGATTGGGCGGGGCGGGGCTGTGGGCGGTGCCGCGGTGAGCCGCTGTCATGGCGGAGCTGAGCGAGGCGCTGCTGTCGGTGTTGCCGTCCATCCGGGTGCCCAAGGCCGGCGACCGCGTCCACAAGGACGAGTGCGCCTTCTCCTTCGACACGCCGGTAAGCGCGCCCCGACGCCGGCCCGCCCGCCGTCCCGGGCTGCTCCCGCCGCGGCCGGCTCCCACCCCGCCGCCAGCCGGGGCGCAGCCCGCGCGGGGCCTCATGGGATTTGTAGTTCCCCGGCGGCCGCGGCGGCCGCTCCCGGGCGGCGCGTAGGGCCCTCGCGGACTACTGTGCCCGGCGTGCCCCGCGGCGCGCCCCGCCCGCCCGCTGCGCGCTGGGGGCTGTAGTTCTGGGGCCGAGGCGGGCGTGGGCAGGGCTCTCGCTCCGATAAGCGGCGGCCCGCCGGCAGCCCCGGAGAGGGAGCGCCCCCAGCCCGAACCCTCCGTGTGGAGGGCCGCCAGGACTTCTACTCCAGCGGAGGGCGGGGGTCGGGCGCGTCCCAGGCCCACCCCCGGCGGTGGAGGGGCGGGCCGGGGGTCCCGCCCTGCCCGGGTCCGAGCCACCTCCCCGCCCTCGCCGCGCAGCGTGGCCCGGCAGGCGGGGGGCGAGGCGCTGCTGTGTCATTAAGATGGCAGTGGTCCCTTCTCCAGCCATCTCCACGCCGCTGACATCCCTGCGCTTCCTGCGCTACCCCTGCTCGGCCTGAGGGGACCGAAGGCAGCGGGAGGGCGAGGTGCCCCTTGAGCTTCCTGCCCTATCCCGGCAGAAATGGGCTGCAGCTGGAAGATACGGCTCCTTCGAGGCAGCAGCACATGGCGGCCCGGCCCTTTCTCTCCCCGAGCTCCACAGTGATGCCTGACCCTGCACTGCCCTCTCCGTCTCAGTCCCAGCAGCTTCTGAAAGCTTCTTAGTGGTTCCCCTCCTTTCCAGCCTCTGCATTTGTTTTCCCTGCCCCTTCAATCTGAAAAGGGTATCTGCTGAATGAGTGGGTGTTCTCCAGCTGCTGATGGGACGGTGGGGCCACGTTCTGTATCTGTTTCCAAACTGCTCACAGGCTTTTGAACACAACAGCAAAAGTAAATGGTGGCCTGTCAACCTTCCTCACACTGTAGCTTGGCAGCATTCCCTATGGCACTGGAAGTCATGTGTTTGGACAGGGTGCCACAGTTTTGCTCGTAATTATTGTACCATGCTCTGAACTTGTAAACTGTGTGTGCTAGGAGCCTTTTACAAGATAAGCTCCTGTGGAAACTGAGGCTTTCCTGATTTGGTAGCATCCTGCCATAAATGAACACGCAAATAGTTTTTTAAATACATCATCATGACAGGAGTACCTGTTCTTCTGGGACAGCCAGGCTGGGCTTGCCATCCTTTTTCTTACTGCTTGTGGCTACTATGTAGGGATGAGCTGTTGCCATGACTTAAGGAATAATGACTAGTCTGTCATGCCTATCCTAGCAGCTGGAATGCTATTCCTTACCACCTCCCTTCAGTTTTGTCCCTCCTTCCTTCCAGGAGTCAGATGGCGGCTTGTATATCTGCATGAACACGTTCCTGGGCTTTGGGAAGCAGTATGTGGAAAAGCACTATCAGAAAACAGGCCAGCGGGTCTACCTGCACCTCAAAAGAACACGTAAACCGGTAAAAAAATGAAAATACATACACTTCAGCTTGTTCTGAAATTGAGAGCCAGGCTGTGTCTGTGTATTCCATCAGATACAGTTTGCTCTCCTGAGATACAGCTGTTGTTTTTCCTGGTGAATTGAGGGACACCAGTGCTCCAGTTCTGCTTATGCTAAGTTGTCATATGGATTGCCCATGTTATTTCTGCCTGGTTTCATTCTGTTTTCAGAGTAGCTTGATTTCAATCCCTAAGTGCCTGATTTATCCATCCTTTCTAACACCTAAGGCTTGCCACAGTGTGCCTGTCCCCTTAACTCTTACTTCCCTATTTCTTCTCAATGCCACAGAAGGAAGAAGACACCAACTCCAGCGCTGGGGACCCCCCGAGGAAGAAACCAACCCGCTTGGCTATTGGTAAGGAAGCACCTATGTACTGTATGGTGCCTGTGTTCAGCCAGTCCTCTGGAACTGCTTGGTTTGTCTCTTTTGCTTTACTCTTCTTGGCTAGTATCCCTGGCCAAATTCAGAATTCCTGTTTTCCAGTGTGTCTCGGGTGAGCAGTTTCTGTAGAACAGCCTTTAGGGTGGTAGTTGTGTTCTATATCCAGCGTTGCATCTTGTTTTCCATGGATAAGTATGTTTTTTATCCTCTGCCGTGATCCCACGTGCCTGGCTCAGGTTGGTGTGGGGATCACCAGACTGGGACTGTTGCTTAAACACAATGTGCCCAGCATGGGGCTGAAGTAAGTTTGAGAAAATATATGTCTGAGAAAAGTAAGTTTGAAGGTTCTGGCAGGTAAACTGTTTTTTAAACTCCTCTGATATTGAACTAGCATTATTGATATAGATGCAAAGAAATTAATGGGAAATGCTGCATTAACATTTTTGGTTCATTAGGTCTTAAAAAGCTGATACTGGAGGAAATACATATGGACATTAAAACATAAAAAATATTTTTAATGTTCCTTTTTTTGGAAGAACAATGCCAGTGTTCCATTACTGTCTTTCACCGCCTGCAAGGGCTGCTGTGGCAATCAATGGAGATGCTGCTTATTTGGAGCAGTCTCAGATGGTAATTTCTGAGCCATTACGGAGACAGATAAAGGAAGGGACAGGAACATTTGTAGCAGTAACAGGTTCTTGGCTTGCTGGAAGCTGACCACTAGACGGAAATCCAGAATCTGGACTGTGAATGTCTTGATTTTGGCTCACTTTTTTCCTGGTGAGGATGCCCAGTGACTCGTCTACTGCCAGAGCACAAATACCACTGTTAAGACTGGCAGCTGCTCCCTGTTTTGCTGGTGAGCTGAATAGATCCCCATAGATCACTTCAGGCAAAATTGAGGCTGGAGTCTGTTTCTTCAGATAGCCAGTGCTTTTATGTATATATATGATTATGCTGCTTTGGGAGAGATGAGGCCCAGTCTGCATTATGAGTTATTTCTGCATCCTGAATTCTACAAAGGTCCTGCAACAAGTGTTGTCAGTGGGTTGGCAAATATCTGCCTGTGATAACAGCTCAGTGGTGTGAACGGAGCAAGAGAGAATAAAATAAAGTATTAGCCCTGTGAGGCAATGATTCAAGTTCAGGAGAAGTTTTTTTTTTAATCTTTGTTTTAGCTCAACTCTAGTGGTATAGCTAATCCTGACACGGGATATTTTTTTTAAGTACTAGAAAGATTTGCAAGCAAAATGTAGCCCTTGATCTCTCTGTACCTCACTTGCCCTCTCAATAACAAGAAAAGATCTGCAGTGCTTGCCTCCTATGCCTGCATGTTGGCTGATGGACTTTTGTGGTGTGTAGTGCTTAGGTACCACCCTGGAAAGGGAGGCAGTACCTCAGGGCAAGCTGGTGCCTATAGACCCTCTCTCTTCCTCATATGGTGCCTCAGAAGGTTCTCATGGCCACCTGAGGGGACCTCAGCAGTCTGGTTTAGTTTGTTTAGAGTTCAGGATTTGTGTAATGCCTTGCAGGGGTTGTGTATTGCTTTACTCTATGAAGTAGTGACAGGAAATCTCTGGGCTGTGCTGAAGAGGCACAGAAGAGGATTATCTAGGTATCTTGTTGCATGATGCTGGTGACTGTTTTCTAAAATCTTTGTGTTCATATACAGAAGTTTGTGCATAGTGTAAAAATTGCAGGTATCTAAGAGGGAGTTGCAGGAGATGTCATGGGATTGGATACTTTTGACAAGGATGTTTTAAGGAAATACAGAAGTGATTATCAGAACTGTGATGCACACAGGATTCTTGAGGCAGAAGCACTGAGCAGCAAAAGCTCTTATTCCCTTCAGAGATTTGTTGCAGCTGCAGATGTTCAGATATTTGTTGCAGAGATTATTGCAATCACAGCATGCAATTTTTCCAGAAACAAAGGAAATTCAGTTTAAAAACACAGGGGGTTTAGGCTGCTAATAAGCCACGTATCTTCTGCTTGTTTCCTTTTGGGATGTAGGATGTGAATACCTAGAGAACAGAGAAGGCCAGGCTTTTCCTCTGAGTACCTATATAGTCCAAAAACTGTAGGTGAGGAAATCTGCAGAAACTGCAGATGTTTTGGTGAGCATCCATGATGACCCTTTACAACTGGCAAATAACCTTTTACGTATGGATCTCCAGTTTCTGGTGCAACCTCTGGAAAGCACAGCTAGGTGTGCATAGAAACTACTGTCACTATACCTTTGCTCAGACTTTTTCTGCAATTCTGGGTGTTTTGGTTCCAGAAGAGCTCCTGCTTCTTCTTGCTTGAATGCAGGACTGTAGACTATCCTTTCTGGTAAAGGCAAGAAAGAAAGAGAGGCAGGCTTCTTAAAGATGCTGATAGACCTGACCATTGCCCTGGCTTACAAGATGCTCTCTTAATGCACATCTCCATTCGTTGTCTTGAGTATTCTGGTTAAGGTTGAGCCAATGCCTCTCTAGAGGAGGTTTGATTTTCTTCCTAGTTGTAGCCAGAGTCTGGAGAT